CAACACTTCAACATAGGTCCTAATTTGGCGAGTAGCATCTCGGGCATAGATGCATGCCCTTAAGACTCGCGACTCGCGACTTCATGCATCAACCCGTAGCACTACCCGGTCCCCAGATTATGCATAAAGTTGATATACTCTTAAGCCTCGCCAGCCAATGGTTTCACAGCACAGTCTATATCACATTCTCCTGGTAAGCATCCAGGGGTCCTTTCTCGCCAGGTATTTTTGCACAGACCTGCGTGTATGTTATATGTATTATCGTGCTGTAGCTGCAGCTTACTGAAGGAGAGATCCAGTAAGGACACTCGGAGAACGCCTTCGTACAGCCCTTTATGCAAGATCAAATTAATGGGCGAATTGATATCTGACCACTCTTAGCCAGCTCTCATTTCCTCCATACGGGTTGCAGCATGGGGTGATATGACATGTACATATTTATCGTATGCAGAGTCGTGCTGTAGTAGATGTATCGGCCCATTTGCATTGAACATCTACATATCGTACGGAATCCGCACATCTAGACTCAAGGGTTCTAGAAAATGGTTCGGAAGTTTTAGAAGAGCAGAATTGCTCGCTATCCCGGCTCGTGGCCTCAGCTTCTCGCCTCGCGAACAAGGTAGGCCTGCGGCGTCACATAGACGTCCCCGCTTAGAGTGCTCTATTAAGAGAATCGGTGTCATGGGTTACTCTCGAAATGGCAAGATAGCCAAGGTCCTCGTCATGCGCTCTATCGCACCTTGCCTATTTCAGGGTTGAATAGCGTTCGAACGATGCCTCCCGATCGTTTTTGTTCGCTATGCACAAGGCCTCTTCGTGGACTGTGCCCTTTTAACTGTGTTGAAACCAAGATGTTGCAAAACATGCCCACTCGGAAACGAACTAAAGCTTCTACGAAGTAGTTAGAGTCTTGCGCCTAATATTGACATCATAGTCTCTACCGGTCTTTTATGTATAGGTTGATTGCCATCGTATCAAATACCCAGTTGTACTTCAGACTCTGCGGCAGGATATCGTGGTCAGAAGGCGGTCGATATCTACTTAGAACCGGTCAATCAAACCACTCCCTCCTCCTCTACTGTAATCACAAGTTCTGCAAGACGCCAGCCTTATGAGGCATAAATACGACTTGTTAGCCGCATACGGTTCATGCCGGCGACACCGTAGATAATTCAAGCGAGGTAATCGCTCGGATCTAAGCCCTAGTAAGAACGTGTTCGGGCGGCCTGGGGTTAAGTTCCATGGGCATGAAACGATCAGTGGGTAATCCGTACCGAAAGCAACGTTGGCCTAATAGACCATCCCGCGGTCGATGCGCGTCCTATATTCTTGGCGGATCCTATTCATAGGTAGGATTCGAGACATCATTTTATAGGCCATGTTAAGCATAGATAGAGCGTAGAGCATTGAAACAATACTAACATCATTAGTAACACCCGTAGTATTGCGATTCATATCTTGGTTTAAACCTGAAGTCGAACTCAGGATCAATGGCTGAGTTTGAGAATTCACTTTCGAGCCAAGAAACAGCGTAAATATTATTGGGCAATGCTGATATGACACTGGCCAGCCCTTGTAAAGGTATATGAGATGAGCTTAAGTAATATCAACTCGTACATCATCATTATAACGTATCTAGAATAGGCTTAAGTATAGCTAACAGAAAGTGAATGTGTGGCTACGTCATCTGGAATCGTTGTGTTTGAAGGGAGACGCAACTAAGATGGCCATCTATATGTCTAGTGAATGGTATGAGAACTATATGCCAGTCGCTGTTATAACTATAATGACATATTTCATACATTCAAGTGAACTTTCAGAGGTAGGCTGGTACGTAAATTTATATGGGCACTTCGTTGAAGAAACATCGGTAGAGTAAATGCTGACTTTTGAGGTATATCCTGGATACCTTAGGCACCTAGCTAACAGGACTATCCGGCTAACGACTCCTTGATATTCAGATTTTCACTGATAATGGATATGGTATAAGTGTAAGAGTATTAGAATGCTTGATATAGCCAGAACGCCTTTATGACGGTGTTAGTCCTCTGGTATAGGTGAGTTATACCTATAAGTAGCTGTAGTAGCTCATCCCTAGCAGATGTCCTGTGTAAATACGAAAAAGCAAGGCTAGTTGGTATTCATAGTTCTTTCATGACCTCGGCCACCGCCTTCGCGGCTACCCGCTTACGCTGGTCTTCCGGCAGCCCGGCGCTCGTATCGCGCACAGCCTGCAGCTTAACCATCATGCGTTCTATCTTCCTGATCTCTTCGTCATTCATATCTTCCCCGTCATCCTTCTTGCTGGTGTCCGTGCTCGGTTCTCCGTTCAGGAAATCCTCATCTTTCCCGGAATTCCATATCGCTTGTTTGAGACCGGCAAAGTCCTCGTGGTCGAAACCAAAATCGAGGCTTTCTGGGTCGAGATTAGGCCCATCCTCATCTTTATCATTGTCGCCATTTCCGATATTCAGTTCCGCTTCAAAGTCCTCGAAATCGGAACCGAGGTCGTCAGCGGACGTGTGAGACCAGTCGTTCGACTCTAGCGCTTCCAGAGCACGAGGGATGCCAGTTTTTTCTGCATGCTCAGTTAGTCTCTCGCCTCTCATTCTCGATCCTGCCGGATACAGGCGCAGCAGAGGCAAAACGTACCACCGAATTCGTTTCGTGTTGCCACGGACTGACTCTTGACCTGTACGAACTCTAACCCCCACTCGGCGCAGCAATCTTCCCACTCATCGACATCGTCTATTTCTCCAACGCCCAGACATAAACCGACTCCGTCCCAGGACCAGCCGCCAAGCCCGTCCTTGACAACCTTGCCTACATTCTGGATGAGTTCCTGCGCGGCCTTGATCTCATCCGTCTGCGACTTGACTGGTAGCGAAAAGACTACGACGACTCCGCCGAGAACCTCAAGGACCTCCTTGGCCTCGGGAGATAAGAAAGAACCGGCCCATTCCGAGGGTGACGATATGAGGTCTAACCATATGGGCACTTCAGCTGTATAATATGCTGTTTTTAAAGAGAGGTTGTGTGATGAGCCGGCTAGTGACGTTGATGTCTGCTCTGGATGAGTACCGGTGAGGTCTAGTCGAAGGTTAGTTTTAATGATCGAGGTAATTCATGTGTGTAGAATGATAGGCTGGGTTCTATAAGTTTTAGAAAGGGGTAATAACCAAAGTATATTGGAGGTATGCTTCATGAATTTACCTTTGATTACCTTGGTTAGGTGGTGAGTTGAATCCGCCAAGGAGACGGCTAATATGCGACGGGGATTTGAGATATCCATAGTAGAAATGGTACGATGTGGTATTATGAATTGCCCGGGCTGATGCTTGTTCGGTTGATGATTTATTGCTGGTTCATTGGATGCTAATGTATGAAGAGGTGAGAGCCCGGCTGCCCCGTCTGCCCCGCCATCCCGCTAATGCACATTGCCGCGATAAACCCACAATGTTATCATTATGACTAAGCCACTTACCCGGTAGTTGTATATTGTATACATGTACCTCATTCACATGATGTACATACATGTATGTATGTACATATTAGAATGTACCTAATTGTAAGACAGGAAAGAACTGTCGACATACATCTGTCGTCTCCGTGTAACTCGCGACGTCAGTGGCTTATTCGTTCAACTTCAAAGTCTGTAGATTTCGTACCGTCCAAGTTTCATCAACCAATTCTACCATCATGTCTCATCCTGAACCATCGCAACCGGTCCAATCCATCAAGGCTTCAGATATCCAAGCCTCGGGAGCGCAGACAGAGGGAATGATCCGCTCCAATGCGATAGTTGACAAATGCGACGGCATCTGCGCCACTAGTATGCTTGCAAAACCACATACGGCCTCGGCAGTCCATCATCACGGAGAACAAGACACGATAGTCTATGCTGTTAAGGGACGCGGAACAGTCGTTAGCGAAGGGGGAGCAAAGAGGGTAGACTTGGAACCTGGGGACTTTGCACTCATCCCTGCGTACATGGAACACCAAGAGGTCAACGACAGCGACGAGGATATCATCTGGACCATCGTGCGCAGCGGGAGGATTCCAGACGTAGTGAATCTTACCGGCTGGAACGGAGAACCCGTCAAGGGTTAGATACCTAATTAAGCAAGAACCAAATGCTTGTCCATTTATTGTGTATATATATGCGACCGAGATAAACACGCCACGTCCCCCAACATTCTCTATTCGCTCAACCCCTTAACTCCGTATGTGGTTTCCCCCAAACGTCTGTCTAATGTCTCTTAGCCCCTTCCGCCGTTGTAATCAGCACCGCCAGCTCTCCGTAGCCTAGTCACGATGTCCTTCTCGTCAAGGTCACCCCGATCACGAGCGTCGACTGTTATAGAGTGATGCGACAGCACCTTCTTCACGTTTGAGCTCTCTATGGACACGCGGGCTTTGCGCATCACCTTGACGCTTTCTCCGATCCATACTATAAGCACGAACTTGACACGCTTGCTCTCCGAGTCGTTGTTGTATTCGACTCGCACGTACGCGTAATTAACCTGGGAGTCGTCTAGCTTCGACACCACCTCCGATAGTCCCCCGCTGCCGGTTCCCGCGAGTACCAACTTGTCGCCTACGGCACTCGCGTACGAGAGTAGCAGCCAGTTCGTCGCGTCCTTGTCCGAGCGTACTGCGTCGTATGCTGCTAGGACGTCGGGGGAGTCGATGCCGGACATCTTGCGGGTGGGGTTCTTCGGGAGGGAGGGTGCAATTCGAGAAAGGGTGGTTCGTTCGTTACTATAACATATGGGGATGATGAAGCCGGTCGAATGGTTTTTGTTATCGAAATTTGAGTATCTTGCTTGTGATGAGTTTTGGTTTAGTAGACTGAAGGAAAGATGGTGACCCCCTGGGCGCTGGCTTCAAATGGCATAGTTAAATGGCATAAGCGTTTAGTGCTGTCGACGGTCCGTCAGACTTATTGTCAGCTGTATACGTGACCCATTTCTTACCCCTATTTCCACTTTCAGTTTATGCGCTTATCACAATATTGTTTTCGAAACGGTAAAGGGTTTAGAAGATACAGTAAATCATAAAACTATATTGATGCTCTGATCTTTAATACTATCGTGCGTACCTACGGGATAAAGGGGCACTACAGATATTAACCCGGTGGAAGTCTATTCACGCCGGATCATATTCAATGAGCCGTTAAGCTTATTCCAACGTACTCGGCCCATTCTAGGTACCAGTCTCGATTCCTATCGGTATAAGGACTCCAGTTCCAGCCAGATTCCTGTGGAAACTGGCGTGAATATTCCCAATAAGCCGCTTCGAAGCATGTTTCGAATCGTTCGGCGCGCGCGACATTCGAACGCAAAGCAATTCGTAACCCTTGTTCTACGGATGGGTTTGAAATCTTCCAACGGGTGGCCTCAAGGTCCTGGCGTGCCATTAACTTGAGTTGTTCCCCAAACGCATTCTGTCTGGGGAACAAACAGGCCGCAAGTCTAACCCAGGGGATTCTGAGCTCGAGTTTTTCAGGGTCGAACTTGATGTCGTCCATATATGGTAGCTGGAAATACATGCCAGAGAGATGGAGACAAGGCTTGGTATGTCCATCATCTGTAGTTTGAGCTTGGTAACGCTCCATAGTACCTCGCCAAAGAAGCTCACAAATAGGACGTAGTGGCCAAAATCGAGGAGGCCCGAAGCGAACTTCTACGTCGCCTGTCGATACGGTATCGTCAAATGGATCAACATCGCAATCAGGGAGGTAAGAGAAGATAGCTTGGGTATTATCTTCGGAAAATGAGGTAAAATATAAAGCAGTTTCGATAGAATCATCTTCATGGACGGCTATCTGACTCCCGGACTTACGAACTGCGGTAATTCCATCCAGAAAAATCGCAAAGTGAAGCGAGGGGACGAATTTATTCCTGAAAGCAAGGTCCGTGGCCTCCTTGAGCCTTCGACATACTAGACGGCACGTGAAGAAGGCCTTCCGAAAGTGCTGAGGTGCTAAACTGGTAACGATCCTAGCCTGGAGGTCAAGAGGCAGGGTATGAAGCTGGGGAGTTTCACCCTTCTTCCTAGGATCGATGCTAAGCTCCATGACGAGCTTGCCAAGAGGGTAACAGCTGTATTGGCTTGGTTAGGTGGTCTTTTGATTGTTTGATGGGTGTTTAGACAGGGTCTACGTATCCGGAGAGGTGAGATGGTCAAGAGGAGTAGCGGAAGGACTGCTCTGGTGATAATCGAAGGGCATACTTGGAGATTTCTATTTGTTATATATAGATTTAAGTTGGCGTTGTTGTTAGTACGAGTATCTTAGTCACTTCGCTCTCGGCTTTGGTGTTTAGAATATGGGATTAAGTAGCATACATGAACATTCACGCACTCGGTCCTGACCATACTACTTTGCACAAGTAAACCACTCTAAACTTGAGTGGATGGATGGAACGGGTGAAGGTATCTTCCAATTTGGCATACACGATAGCGTCAGTTACTTACCGGCTACTTACTCATTAAGAAGCATCTGTCACTCTTAGAATTACTTGGTATTGAGATGGGGACTGCACAGATTAGGTAGTGCCTATTATTAACCCACTGAAACGTTGAAATACGCAGGAAAAAGTGACTCTACTTGCGTCAGTAATTACCTGATATGACTCGACGACGTCACGAGAATTTGGCCCCCAACACAATTACCTTTCTGACAATGCTTATTTTTAGCCAGCCAACCAAGGTACCTGTTATTCTGTTATCAATCGAAGCATATACGTATCAAAATCAAGTTTCAACTACAGCCACCGACGTCAACTGGACGATTGATCGCAAGTGTTTATTGTCTGGAGAATCATTCCATATAACGTCACGCTGGCCGTCTATTTTCTCTACTCATTTCTTTCAGCCTCAGTCAAAAGAATTATATACGTGTAATATTTACTCAAGTCATCAACCTGGTAATTTGAAAGATACAACTACTTCTACAACCGCCATGGCTACCTCCCAAGAGACCTCCAAGACGAAAACCACCGCCCGCTTCCGTACCCGGAGGTACTGGAAACAACGCATACAACGCCTAACAATGATAATCGCGTCACCTTGCTTCCCTTGTCTCTGTTACTATTGGACTAGAAAGCAGTATGGGGAGTAGGAAAGGGGCAGAGCTCCAAAGCAGTCACTATATGACACGACATAGCTCGACAGCTAGAATTCTAGTAAGCGCCATAAAAATGATTAGGATGAGACCCTGGCGGTAGTCAGCTGCTGTGTGTTAGAACATGAAACGAGGAATTAGAAGCTGCTGGGAACAATCAAAAAGGGAGACGACTGGCGGCTGATTGCGAAATATTAGTTAAGGAGAATGCTGCGGGTAGATACGCACAACTATCGCTTTATTATCTTGAATAAACTTCTTGCACTAGCTTAGTACTGTCAACAAGCTTTAATCATATATATACTGCTGGCCAGGCTCAAAAATGAAATGTAGGGTCAGAAATCCTGTGGCTACCGCTTCCGACTAATAGAGTACGCTTTTCGCCAGGCAGTACTACTTCCGCATCTGTGTTCGGTGGCACTTCTAACACCAGATGGAATCCAGTGTCATCAACTTTCCAGTCCGTTGATATCTTGCCGTAGGGACTTAAATAACTGGCCTTAGCCCAAGTTATGTTCCCACCTGGTTCGACGCTCACTCTAGCTGTCTTCCATCCCGGCTTCGCTGGGGATAAGCCGCCAATAACCTGGTGCATCCAGTTTGCTACCGAGCCAAACGAGTAATGGTTAAACGATAGCATCTCTCCGGGGTTGAGTGAGCCATCGGGGAGGAGGCTATCCCACCGTTCCCACGTCGTAGTTCCACCCATTTCTACTTGGTACAACCAAGAGGGGACCGTTGTCTGGCCTAGCATTTTGTAGAAGGTATCGGTAAGATTGTGTTTGGTCAGGGCAAGGCCGAGTAAGTGCGTCCCCGAGAAACCTGTTCCAACTAAGTATTCGTTATCTACGATAATTTTCTCCAGCCGACTAGCCGCTTCTTTTGCTTGAGCATCGCTCTCGAATATATCAAAGTATAGCGGCAATGCGAGGCCTGTTTGTGTCTCGTTGGCGACGATACCTTCGGGATCTATCCAGGCTTCCCTGAAAGCCGTCTTGAGATCTTTAGCCCATTTCTCGAAGCGGGTTTTATCGTCACCAAGCCCAAGTTCCGAGGCCATCTCCGCAACCAATCCAGTCACATAGACGAGATATGCATCGGCAACATATGTAGAGCTCGTAGTGGCGCGGCCCGGGTCGTCCGGCGGAGACTTAGGATCCAACCAGTCACCTAGCTGAAAGTTTGAACGACTCCACAAGCCGGCTCCATTTCTAGGGATGCCATCGTCGAGCCATGCTTTTGCGCCAGTGTATTGCTCTCGTAAAGCATCAAGGTCTCCAGAGGCATGGTATGCATTAAAAGGATTAGCGACTAAGGCGTCCCCCCAGATAGCCGTTGGGATTTGTGGCCCTGTCGCAGGTACTCCGGGGACTACTAAGGGCGGGACGCCTAGAGCACAAAGCGTTAGCGATGGACTTTTGGATTTTAGGGAGAATATAATTGGGATCGAGTTGAGGTTATCTAGGTCTGGTAGGTAGGTAACTGACCTTCTACCTGCTCTGATTGAAGATCCTTTAACCAACCTCGCCACTAAAAGCCAATCGTTGGTTAGTACTTGAAGAACAGCTCTGATGTCTGGAAATGGTGAAAAGGGGTCATGCAACATACAAAGCCAGAAGTATCGTAGAGAAAGTTAGCTGTCGGAGCAAACGCGAGGCTGTCTCCCGTCCATCCAAGTCTCTCATCCCTTTGGGGACAGTCGCTTGGTATGCTCATGAAATTGGATTTCATAGACCATCTCACATTTTTGTGTAGCTTATTTAGGAGTTCATCTGCACACTCGAAAGAACCTGTCTCCTCCATGTCTGAATGTATTACTATCGCACTCACCGAGTCGTTGTTTAGCGGTGTATCGTCTTCGGGCCACCCGTCGACCATGACGTATCTAAATCCGTGGTAGGTAAAACTTGGCTCCCAAACCTGAAGCTCGCCGGAGAGCGTAAGGTAGTCTGTCTGAGTAGCATTTCTAAGTGGTCGAGTCGCTACTTCTCCGTCCTCTAGAACTTCGGTGTGTACTAATTTGATAGTCTCTCCTATTTTACCTTTAACAGTAAGCCTAAGCCATCCAGCGAAGTTCTGTCCGAAATCAAGAATAGTCTTTCCGGTGGGAGATGTCAATACCTCCTGCAGCTTGATCTCTTCGATACGTTGGATAGGGGGTCCGTCAGGGGCAGTCAATATTCCGTAAGGTGCCTCAAGCTCTTTCACTGCAATCCACTTTGCCGTGTCCGGGACAAGAAATCCAGGGGCTGACCACCCAGTTTGCTCTAGCCTCGAGTCGTATACTTCTCCGTTGTATATTTCAGAGGTCACGATCGGACCTGTACTCGCCATCCAAGACTTATCTGTTCTGACACTTTGCGTTTTCCTATTGGATGTAATAACTAACAGGGCTATAGCACCTAGCGTGTCGCCCCAAATATTGCGGTTGCCTGCTCCGAATCCGAGGCGGCCAGCATACCAACCCTCACCAACTGTTATTCCGAGGACGTTATCTCCGGCGAGCAGTAGGGCTGTCACATCGTAAGTATCGTAGACTAGACGATGTTTGTAAGACTGCCACCCGGGAGCGAGTACAGTAGTACCGACCCTTTTCCCGTTGATTTGTGCTTCGTATAAGCCATAAGCGGTAATGTACAATCGCGCTTTCTCCACACTAGTACTGTTAACTGAGAACTCTTTACGAAAGAGTAGCGGCTGGTGGGGGGCATTTTTCTCCGTTTCCTTGTCTGCGCTTATCATCTGAGCCCCTGACCAATCGTCCTGATTCAGGATTCCGGTCTCAACGTTGACATGCTCGGACCATGGAGTGTCGGGCTGGTCTCCTTCGCCATATGCTCTTACTCGAACCGTGGCAGACTCTGCTGATGCTAACGAGACGGTGGGCCAAGGCACAAGAACAGAATCTGAGGAATTGTAATGAAATAGCTCAATTTGGGATAGCCCAGTTTGATTCTGCTTATGTCGTGATAATTCAATGCTATATCCGCCTTGCCTCCAGTCAGCAGCAAGACCGTCGAAGCGCCATGATATTCGAGGAGAAGCCTCTCCAATGCCTAGGGCTACTCTGTGATGCTCAAAGGACACTTGAGAGATTGCCACGGCCATTGCGGTTTCTTTTGGGTGAATATGTTGAGTATTGCCAAGAGTTTAAAATCCCGACCCTTAAACCATTGAGACGCTCAAACCATTGAAGAGTGTTAGGTGAGTATAGCTGCACCTTCTAACAACAGGAAGTTTAGAGCTGGATACATACCTCGGCTATATATCAATAAATACAATACCTAGGTACTATACTATATTGAGCTATGCAAGCAGTGCAACTTCGGCATGCGTGATCGACTTTATCCAGCCCCTCTTCTAAGTACGCATAACTGTAACATCGTGCCGGCTTCTCCCCGCAAAGATCAACATTGTAAATGCAGTTACGGAAATCAGCTAATGTCTAAGAAAGAAAACCTGATATCATGCTCAAGGATCTAAACCAGGGCGCGGCTGTATAGCTTATTGTAGTTAGATGAGATAAATTTCACGATTCTTTCGATGAGTAAAGGCTTATGAAATACGCTTGGATTTCGCCTGGATTTCGCCTGGATTATGGTCTCTATAGTCGCCGCGACCCTCGCCTGGCGAGGACGAGAGCCCTCGTGCCCAAACGACGTGGTAGTTGAGTCATTGGACTGGGTACGGGCCCAGAGGGAAGACGCGAACACGATCCACTTGGTAGTCTCATTCTCGGGGCCCAGAGCTTGACCGGGATTCTAATCCAATGTACAGTTGGTATCTCTTAGGGCATCGACACACCCTCATAGGAGCTGTTCGCTATTCCTGTACAGCTCGTCAGTTGTCTGGAGTGTGAGACGGCGATGGGTTATTAACCTACCTAGGTAGATATGTTACTAATCTTCCTTGGATGTTCTATGGAGTTTCTCTAGGCATATCGTCCTACCCGGTCGTCTTTGCCGTAACACTGTTCGAGTTGGTCGTTAGAGTAGTGGGACGAAGATTTACTTCGGTCGTTGTGAGAAATGAATAGAGAAAATGTATAGGGGTTGGGACCTCATTCTATTTCAGTAGTGTTAGGGAGTGTAGTGTAATAGACAGTTACCTAGACAGGTATTACTGTAAAAGACGTACACTACTTGTAGTCAAGTTTACCGTTGTTGTTAATTAACCCATATAACAGTATAATACTGTGCTGAATCCTCCAGCGATTATAGCGTGTAAGGATACCGTAAAGTCGCTGTATAGTAGGTCGGCAGCCTTACATATACTGCTATTCTATCACCCCCATTATCATCCCTCATATTCCTCGAGTATCTTACTAACCTCAATACATACGCGCACTTGAAAGATTTCCGAGCCTCAAATGTGTTTGTGCATAAATAGATGCACAAGCCACCATCTAAAGTAAAGTACTGTGCTGCCGTCATAGCGAGCCTTGTGCATTGCATCCTACATACTTCAGATTGCTCCTTACGCCGAAAATAGCTACCCCGGATCCCTAGAGCCTGTTGGCCATATTGTGACACATTCCTAATGTAGGCATATGAGAATAGTGCGTAAGCGAGCAAACTATCGATCCATGCATCATACTTAGTCTCTCATGCATATTGTATATGATATGTCAGACGAAATGTCGCGGGGCTCGGTGTCTTGCCGATGAAGTAAAGTAAGCCTCCTTTTGCCCCTTTATCCCGTATTTATCACTTGAGCCAATTCACCAACAACTACATCGTTATTTCGTCGTATTGTCAACTTGTAAAGAAGTCCTCATAGTTAGTGGAATTATTTCTCCATAATGCATCCAAATAAAACCCTCATTTACAAACTGTACACGCCGCATTGCCCGGTTCCCGGAGTGCATCTAACAACCGAGTCCCGCCCATTAGACCCGGAAGCCGCTCCTCCTCCTGGAGGTATTACCATCCAGAACATATATATATCGTTAGACCCTTATCAGCGGGGGCAGATGCGCCTGCCCACCGATACGGGCACTTATTCGATGCCTTGGATAGAGGGGGAACCAGCCGTGGTCACTACTCTTTCTACTGTACTCAAGTCTGACAACTCGCGGTTCAAACGGGGTGACACCGTCATAGCCATGGCTGATGCGGGTGAGTTTGCGATCGTACCCGCGAAGCTAGCAGATTTTGCTCGCGTCTGCCCGCCACTACCCCCGGGAGTGACGATACCTTCTTCAGCGATTATTGGCGCTCTTGGCATACCAGCCCTATCAGCCTATGTCAGCTTTTTCGAGTTCGTGCCAGAGCCTCGATCAGGGAAAACTCTCTGGGTTTCTGCAGCTAGCGGTGGCGTAGGACAGGTGATAGGGCAGTTAGCCAAGATGCACGGTATGAAAGTGGTTGGAAGTACCGGAAGTTCCGAGAAGGTTGATTTCCTAGTGAACGAACTTAATTTCGACGCAGCGTGGAACTATAAGAACGAAACCACCGCGGAAGCGTTGAAACGACTGGTACCGGATGGATTAGATGTCTATTATGATAATGTAGGAGGTGAACAACTCGAGACTGCTTTAACCGTGATGAAAGACTACGGCACCATAGGTAATAACCCTAACCATCTACGATAATTCTTATGATCGAATCTCTAACGGATTACGAATGCTAATAAAATGTCTCAGTATCGAGCGGTATGGTATCGCAGTATAACCTTCTCGATGAGGAGAAATATGGTATAAAAACGGGGATGAACATCTTTCTGAAGCGCCTGACTATCAGGGGATTCATTTGTTCCGATCCACAACACCTTACCAAGTACCTTCCTTCGTTTGCCGCAGATATGATCACTTGGATCGCTCAGGGGAAGATCAAGACTAAAGAGGAGGTTATCCTGGGGATTGATAATGCGCCGGTTGCATTCGTTCAAATGCTAGAGGGGAATAAACTGGGAAAGATGGTACTCAAAGTGGGCGACAACTGATATTCTATCTGAAACGAAGGAATCCTAAATCATATTAAAATCGTACAATACGCACATGGTTCCTTGGTTACTCTAACGGTGGCTCGAAATCAGAAGCAAGAGTGATACCTATTTACCTAGAAATTCGGTGTATGCAATTATATGTTCTTACAAGTGGACAGACTTAGGCACGCATTACTGTAACAGGGCAACGGTAGGCATATATTGATCCTCTAGTTCTAGTGATAGTAGTTTAGACGACGTCGCATAAAAAGGTATTCCCCTGATATAATTAATGCGGATCGAATATAATTAATATTAGATTAATATTTAACGTGAGGCGAATCGTCAAAGGCATGAACTGGTGTCGCAACTGTCGGTGGAACTTGACCGGCCTTTGAGGAATATTCGGGACAATATGCCTCTTCTCCTAGTGGCCCTATCCGTCGATATGGATTCATTTCAATATCGAGATGTCTCCTAGGGTTGGCAGAGCTATCCAGCCCCGAAGAGCTTTGCCCTTGCGTTGTGGAGTAAGGGCTAAGTGACTTCAACGTATTTATTACACCCAAGTAGAGCGGTCGTAGCGCTGGAAGACAAGCCGCAATCAAATAGCAACTTGATTCTACAAGAGACCAAGTCGCGATGTCGGCAGAATCCCACGTACCGTCACTCAAAGCAGTCACTCGGAAAGTAACGACAAGGCGAATGATGGAAGCAATCATCCCGCTAGAAAATATCAGCATGTGCTCTTTTTAGGGTAGGTAGTTAATAAGACTGCGCACAAACTTCCAAGAAGGAAAACCCCTGAGAGGGCAATCTTCTGCTTCTTATCAATATGAAGGCCCCATATGGTTGGTAATGGCAATAGCAACATCATCACGTCGGTGGCGATGCTGGGAATGTTTATGCCCTGCCAGAAGCGTGGCGCATCAAGACAGTTGGAGGTAGATAGATTTATGTCCCAACGAGCGGAAAAAGGCCGACAGGAGGCAAGCGATGTTATTATTCCTGCTATTGCATTCGCACTGACGATGCCTCCGATAATATAGGTCGAAATCCGGTAAGGCTTAGCGGTAAGGATGCGCAGATATGATGCTAGGATGGAGAGTTTAGGGATAGCAACTGCAGCACAATATATCTCTTCTATTGCGTAACCACATTTGGCCCAATTCACCACGGCTTGCGGATCTTCGATGTATAAGACGGGCAAGTGACGTCCGACACCTGCGATCTTCACTTCGACTATAGATACGGGTGAGCGAGATATTTGGAACGGAAAGACTAGCCTAGGACATACCGATTGAAATGACACACATGCCCAAGGAGAATACCAAAGCCGGAATAATTATATAATCGTCGACCCCTAGTTTTGCCTTATGGGTCATACGAGTAGCGAAACGAAGGGCGACGATGCTGGCATCTAAGGCTATGAATACACTAGCTATGGCAATGAGGCGCGGCCCTGTCGTCTCCGCTATATAGGAAGGAGGGAACGATGTGAGGTTCGAGGCCATTGTAAATATCCAAGGTAGTGCTAAAGAGAAAATAGTTGAAAGTCAACAACACTGCAAAGACGCGAACGAGTTAATTTTCTCTATTTCCGTAGATGGAGGTAAGGGAACCTACTGGAGAAATTACTTACATACATATTACCTCGCGGTATTTATTAAAGCGTGAAGGGAATTACGCCCCGAAAGAGTTTATAATAAATAAGGAACGCCTCCTAAACGTTAATGTCTGGGAGGAATAAGCAAAATCCTCCCAGAACACATGGAGGGTAACACAGCAGCAAATGTACAGTATAATAACCTGATATACTAACTATATCTTTCAACATGAACATAACAGGGCTATGATAGCGAATTCGCTGTCGATATCAAGTAACCACCGGTCTTACGGTAGTATGTTGCACGAATGGTTACTTGAATTACTTCCAAAGGCATTTGTAGATAGTCTTGGCAGTATCTGTTCTGTGGTTCACCAATGCGACACGGTCCTTTTATCTTCAATATGTCGTGTTGGGTCGAGGCCTGCCTCTAAAAGTCATCCTAGCTGATAGGTAGGTACCGAGGTAGGCATGTAAGACGTTTCTTTTCAACTACTAAGCGCCAATAGGTTTGCGGAGCCATCAAAAGATTTCAACGGTTTTTCGTTAACGTTAGATATTACGCACTTGAGGCCTAGAGAGGGTACATTACTCGAATGCGGAATGTGGTACTACCTGCATCTAACTGGATCTTATTTTCTCTTCCTTTTTCCCCAACGCAGCCAATCCTGCCAGCCTGCTTCTACAAGCGCTCGCAATCTTAGTAGCATACGCGGTTTCTGCTCGGATTTACTGTTCTATAATCATAGACTATTAGTTTCACAGCTAAATTCATAAGTTCTACAATACTTGCCTCACTATACGGGAATGGGACTATCTTTAGGGTTGGAAGTTATGCAATTTGGAGCCTATAAACGTTCTTACATGCAAGTAAACTTCCTCAGACGTAAAGGATTCTGTATGACCTGATGATGGTGGGTAATCACTTCTTGACTTAGGATCTTACGTTCGGATGATATGATCATGTATTGTGTTTCTTTGTGCAACACAGTACTAGTCTTATATTTTGGCAGTCAATACTATTTCATCCGTAGTCTTGGTGAATTAACGTTCTATGCCTTGATTATAACTCTAGGTCTATCTCCTAATAGCCCTCGTTGGTAATCATCGTCTTTGATACGTTTATGTTTACTTACGATATAAGTGTCTAAGGTATATAGGTTTATTTAATAGAAATACGTACCCTTTACTCCATACTCCAGGCATTTTAAGGGGCTAGACGGATTCATCATGGATCATTATCACGCAGAAGGGCCAGAGCCCATTGCTATAGTGGGTATAGGTGCGTGTTTCTAGGCCTAACTTCCTTATTCCTTAGATATGTACTAATCTTTAAACTAAGGTTGCCAGCTGCCTGGGAATATTCGGAGTACAACGGACTTCTGGAATTTTCTGATGTCTGAGGGCTGTTCCAAAACCGACAGGGTGCCTAGCTCGCGATTCAACATTGACGCCTATCTTCATTTGGATAATGGGCGACCTGGAAGCTTCAATGTCCCGGGTGGGCACTTTCTACACGATGATCCTCACGCATTTGATCCTAGCTTGTTCAAGATATCCCCGGTTGAGGCCATGTGGATGGATCCGCAGCAGAAGAAGTTGTTGGAAGTCGTCTACGAGGCTTTGGAGAACAGTGGGACTACTCTTGAGGACGCAGCCGGCCGAAACACGGGCTGCTATATTGGATGCTTTTCTTATGACTTTCAATTCATGACGATGAAGGAGCCCGACTTTAGGCACGCCTATACGGCGACGGGTGTTGATACAGGTATACTCGGAAACCGTATCAGCTACGTCTTTGACCTTAAGGGCCCCAGGTACCTAATATATCCTCAAGCCGCAACGTCTGGGCTTTTTGCTAACTCCGGTTATAGCCTAACTGTCAATACTGCTTGTTCGTCATCGTTATACGCCCTGGATCTTGCCTGCAAGGCGATTTCTACTGGCGAATGCGATAGTGCTATAGTAGGAGGCACTAATATCATTATGACTGTAGATCAGCATATGAATACGGCTAAGCTGGGGGTTTTGTCCCCGAGTAGTCGATCACGCCCCTTTGACCAGGCGGCCGACGGGTATGGACGAGCTGAAGGTGTGGGAGCTCTATATCTCATGCCGCTAAGCTTGGCTATTCGGGAAGGGAAACCTGTTCGTGCGGTAATTAGGGCTACCGCAACCGGGAGGTACGTTCTTTTCCACTCGTATACCTAATCAAAGCTGGTGAATACACCTAATCGCCGATTCGCGTAACAGCAATGGTAAGCATGGAGATGGGGTCAGTGGTATCACTCATCCGAGTATAGAGGGCCAAGCAGATGTCATCTCCTTGGCCTATAGGCTGGGGAAATTGTCGCCGAGTGAGACGAGATATGTAGAGTGCCACGGTACCGGAACTCCTATTGGAGATCCTGCCGAAGTAAAAGCTATTCACAAGGCGATGGGCGCTTCTAGACCCCGAGAAGATCCTATACTTATCGGGAGCGTAAGTCCTACTCTCTAGTTAGGCCGTGCTTGGCTAATAGAACTAGGTAAAATCGAATATCGGCCACAGCGAGGCGGCTAGTAGTATAGGAACCTTGATTAAGGCGGTGCTGGCTCTAGAGAACGGCATCATTCCTCCAACCGCCGGTGTTACGAAACTCAGTACGAGCAGTAAGCTGAACCTGATCTTTCCGCTACCTTATGGTATTTCTTCTCGCTAAATAATGTTTATTGTAGTACCTTGGGACGAAATGAATGTCAAGGTAGTTACAAAGCCTACTGGGTTTCCAGCTTCTGCGTCGTCGCGCCGGATTGGCGTCAGCGCATACGGGTATGGAGGAACAGTAGCACACGCTGTTCTCGAAAGCGCACGGTCTGTCGCGCCTGAATATTCCGCGCACAGATCCATGCGCCATCTTAAGGGTATAGAAGATGAACTGGGGTGCGTAGAGCCTGACGCCGGTCGGCCGCATTTGCTGCTCTTTTCGGCCCATGATAGACCGACGCTCCAGAACAACATCGAGGCGTTTTCAACTCGCTGCCAGGACGCCTCTCTTGTTGACCTTGCTTACACTTTAGGGCTTCGCAGGACGAAGTTCCAGGAGCGAGCTTTCGCTGTTGCCCGTAGAGAAAGCTTCGAGTCTGACGTAAAAGGCGCGCTCTGCGAAATCAGCTCGGCTCCCCAAGAAGCAGCATGTCTAGCCTTTGTGTTTACAGGTACGTATACATCAATACCTAGGTCCTAATACTACCGCGATAAGATAGACGTTCCTAACGTGATGACAACTAGGTCAAGGTGCACAATGGCCGCAGATGGGCGCGACATTGTTGAACGTATTTCCATCTGTTCTCCAGACGATTCGCCGACTAGATCGTCACTTGTCCACACTTTCGGTTCCGAATTCGTGGAATATTGAAGAGATTTTGACGAGCTCGAAAGATGCGAACTTGATGGATGATCCTCAATACTCTCAACCGTTATGTACGGCCGTGCAGATCGCCGTCGTCGACTTGCTAACCCATTGGGGAGTAAGGCCCTCTGCTACGATCGGGCATTCATCTGGTAAGGCCTCTTCTCCACTACTAACACAGCCTTTTAAACACTATACTTACTCGTGGAACGCAGGCGAGATGGCCGCGGCTTACGCTGCTGGACTCATCTCTGCAGAGGCCGCAATCGCTGCTGCCTACTTTCGTGGACTAGTAGCCGCGAATCTCAGCACGGATGGTGCAATGATTGCTGTAGGAATCGGCCCGGAAGAAGCTAGTCGTCTTGTTGACGAGCTTTCGTGCAACTCCGCGGTAGTTGTGGCTTGCCATAACTCGCCCAATAGCACTACCCTCAGCGGCGATCGAGAATCCGTAGAACGGCTTAAGGAGTTTTTTGACGAGAAGAAGATCTTTGCGCGTATGCTAAAGACGAATGGAAAGGCTTATCACTCGCACCATATGAAGGACGTCGCTGCAAGGTATATGGAGTTTCTAGAAAAGGAGCCAAGTCTGATTTCGAACGCTCTCGCAAAAGTCCCCATGTTTTCGACCGTCAGAACGGAAAAGCTGAACTACACAGAGGGAAGAATTCCTGGATCTTACTGGGTGGACAACCTTACCAACCCGGTTCTTTTCGATCAAGGGGTCCAGTCCATGTTAAACGAAATGCCAGAGATCAACCTTCTCGTAGAGGTTGGACCTCACTCGGCCCTGAGCGGCCCTATCCGGCAAATATGCCAGGCCATTAATAAGAAAGGTGTAGGCTACCTGCCAACGCTCAAGAGAAAAGAGCATGATGGGGATCAGATGCTCCGACTTGCCGGAAGCCTATGGATAAGAAATGCCGATATTGATATCGCCGCCGTAACCCAGGTTGAGAAGTTGCTTGATAATGGATCGATTGACGTGAGGACGGGATCGCTCCTCGTTGATCTTCCCACCTACCACTGGACATATCCGAAGCATAGCTTTGCCGAATCGCGCACCAGTAGAGAGCAACGCGCTATGAAAGAGCCGCGTCATGATATTCTTGGCCGTCGCGTCGCTGGTACCTCAGCATTAGAATTTCTCTGGCGGAATATCCTGCGTCAGAAAGATATACCTTGGATAACCCACCATCGTCTTGGGGGCGAGGTGATGCTCCCAGCAACGGGATACCTTGCGCTAGCTATTGAAGCAATTACACAGGTGAATATGGAATCTAGAGATCCAATCGAGATTCATAGCTACACTATGCGGGATGTAGCCATTACATCCGCCATCGTGGTTCCAGATGATGATGAAGGGACCGAGACGTTATTTCGCCTTCAGCCCGTGGACAATCAGCTCGGCGCGTCTAAGAATAGAGACGCAACGCGGTGGTTCTGGTTCTTCGTCTCATCATGTTCATATGGCGCGTGGATAGAAGCCGCAACGGGTTTGGTTGCTCTTAATGTAAAGGGCCGGGCCTCCGATTACAAGCCTCAAGTGCTGCCTGATACTCCCCATCGTGCTTCCTATATCGATTGGCTCGAGAAGAACCGTACTGTAGGTTTCGATCATGGACCAGCATTTCATCATATCAGTGATATATACACGAACGAGAAATTGCATGTCGCTCGGGGAGATATAAGAATCAGTAAAGAATGCGGTCTGATGCGTGCAGAGTCTCGATACGTATTGCATCCCGCCGTTCTAGATGCGTGCCTCCAACCTTTTCATGCGACGATGCACAGAGGGAAAATTGACGACCTGCGATGCGGCGTGATCCCGACGCACTTTGGCGAGACTACTATCTTTCCCCCGTCGGATGAGCAGCTTGCTAGCCGATGTGTGGTGCAGACTTGGTGTCCGCAGCTGGGTAACAGAGCATTTTCGTCTAACGTGCAGCTCATCGCACACGACGGACAACTCCTAGTCGATATGACTGATTCGAGGTCACTCTTGTACAGGTCTGCTCTTCCACGAGGGATCCAAGAAAATCCCCAACAAGATCTCTATGTCAAGCTAGACTGGAAAATCGACGCTGACTATCTAAGCTGGGCAAACGAGGCGGGAGTTCTGTCGGATCAGCCATTAGCCACTATCGTGAATTCCATGCTGCATAAAAATCCTGATATGCACGTTTTATCTCTTGGCGACTCTCTTGTTCCGGTCGTTCTCGAAATCAAGTCGTCCCTTGAGATAACCATCGCGGCTCCGTGCCAGGAAATCAAAGATGTTCTCAAAGCCCGGTATTCTGCGTATAAAGCGCTGAGCTTCGTTGATCTTGATGCTGGCGCTCCCGACATTGTTAAGTCAAATACAAGATACGACCTGATTCTTGCTTCGGCGATCGACCAGGTTCGGATGGCGACTTTAGAGCCGGTCCTTAGAGTTCTTAATCCAGCTGGCACTTTAATCCTTCTGACGAGTGCGGATGAGAGTCAAGTATGGAATCGTACCCTAGAAGATGTTGGATTCTCCTGTGTTATCGACCAAGCGTTGCCTGACGGCACCGTCACGAAGATAGCCGTACACCTAAGCCCTTCAATTTCAAACGGCGTCAAGTCGCACTGCGGCAATATTAAACTTGTTTATCGAGACTCGCCCTCGCCGCTTGTATCGGTGGTCTCTGACAGGTTCAAGAATTACGGCTGGAACGTAAATTCGTTACCAATTAGCTCCGTCGACAAGGGCTCGGGCGAGCAAGTCATTCTACTAGATGACGCCGATATTCCGTTACTCGCGTGTCTAAACGAGCAAGATTTGGCCGGGCTGATAAACCTTACCGAGAGCGCATCAGCATTCACTTGGGTGACGTGCGGCGGCCTGCTCACCGGCGATAAACCGGAGTGCGGCATGACTGCGGGCGCCGCTCGGACGCTCCGCCGGGAGAAAGGGTCTCTGGATCTCGTGACTGTCGACTTCGATGCTGAAAACACGCCGAGGACTCGCGTAGCCGCGCTCCTTACAGACATAGCTGACCGTCAGAGGACTAAGGGTAGGAATGGGGAGGTTGAATATTATTTGAGGGACGGTATCGTTCACATAGGACGTCTCATCCCGCATCATGACCTGAATAGGCAGTTTGTACCCAACCCCAACGAAACCACTCCGGTTTACCAGCGCGATCATCCAGCAGTACGGGCGGAAATTAAGAACGGGACGCCAATTTTTCTCTTGGATAACGACCGAGTGTCAGGGCCTATACAACCTTATGAAGTAGAAGTACACGTTGCAGCCATAGGCCTCTCGGCGTTTGACGGCGCCGACGAGTCGACATTTCTCAGTCATGAGATAGTTGGAACTGTGACGCGCGTTGGGAAGCAAGTGGACAACTTACAGCCTGGCACGAAAGTGGCTGGATTCGCACTAGACCGTCTCGCAACTTTCCAGCGGACTTCTCCAGAACTTGTGCAGCCCCTACCGCATAATTATAATTCCTCGTTGAAGGAGGCGGCGACCTTGCCCTCCGCGTTCGCCACCGCTATCTACGGTCTGGAGATCTTAGCGAGAATGGAGCCGATAGAAAATGTAGTGATCATCGACGGTATGGGTGCAGTTGCCTTGGCCGCGATTCAACTCTGTCGCGTGTCTAAGGCGAATGCCATCGTCGTTACCTCGTCGGCTGCCGCAGAAGACTATATCCGGGATAATAAGCTACTCCCATCGGATCGTATAATCAATAGCAGCAATTCCGGTATCGGTTTAAAGTTGCAGGAGGCAACAGCTGGGAAAGGAGTTGATGTAATACTCTGCTCGACAGCTACCGATAAAGCGACCGTCGTTGAGTGTAGTCGAGAACTGACACTGTTTGGTAGAGTAGTGACGTTTGGTCATACGAGCAACTATAACCCTATCATATCTTCATTGTCGACAGAGGCCAAGAGTATAAGTCTCTTTCATTTCGATATTGCTGAGATTATTCGGCACAGGAAAGGGTCAATAGCAAGGTAAGATCTACCAGTGCTTCGTCAACCTATAGGATGTCTAAAATAACTCGTTCAAGGGTTCTCGAGCGATGCATGAAACTATATGCTGCAGGAGATATCGAACCACTTCGTCCGCTTAATGTCATCGGGCCTACCGAAATTAGTGAGGCTCTGCAGTCTATCCCAAGTGATATGATATCGGGCAAGATCGTCGTTTCTTACGACCAAGATGCGCTTTTCAAGGTCAGACCCCAAAGCCCTGTGAAGATGCGCTCTATTAATCCATCTAAAAACAGGTCGTCCCTTCACGAGAACAACTAAGGTTCAAGGAGGATGTCACTTACCTAATGGTAGGTTGTCTCAGCGGGCTTGGACGTCAGGTCGCTCTCTGGATGGCGGATCGGGGTGCGAAACACCTTGCCTTTATATCGCGGACAGGTACCGACAATCCCGTAGCCGCAATGACCGTTCAGTCCCTCCGAGACAGAGGGACTGAAGTATTGGTGTTGCGTGCGAATATAACCTGTCGAGACGAGCTTACCGAAGCCATCGCCAAGCTCGATCCTGCCTTTCCCATACGCGGCATCGTCAACGCGGCTACCGTCTATCGCGATGCTACTTTTTGGAACATGACAATAAGCGCCTGGCAAGAAGTAGTCGATACGAAAGTTAGGGGTTGTTTGAACCTGCACGAGGTGCTCAAACACGAGACCCTTGACTTCTTCGTCATGACCAGCTCCATCTCAGCAACTCTAGGCTCTAGTGGGCAAACCAATTATAGCGCCGGTGAGTAACATAGCTCTAATCGTCCCAAGAATTCTTGTTGGCGTTTGAAACTTATATATCCTTCCTAGCAAACGCATTTCTCGATTCTCTAGCACGCCACCGTCGAGCGCGCGGCCTTCCCGCCGTCTCGCTCATCCTCCCGGCCGTCTTTGGAATCGGCCACATCGCTGACGACCCTGAGCTCGAGAAGTCTATCAGAATGAAGGGCATGTACGGAATCCGGGAGAAAGAGATGCTCGAAGCATTTGAAGTGGCTATGACACCGCAGAGCAAACTACCCTCCGATTTCGACCACGTCGTAGTAGGCATTCAGCCCCGTCGCTTCGGGCACGCCGTCAAGACGTCCGGTGTTCATGCTCCTTGGGAAGGTGATCCACGGCTCAGTTGGATAGCAACTGCGGTAGAAGGGGAGACCGGGAATGAGAAGACGTTGGGAGCCAGTAGTACGGATAACATTATGACTACGATCCGAGAAGCGTCTAGCGGAGCGCAGGCCGTCGAGGCCGTCACAGAATATTTAAGTCGGCGGCTAGCAAGATTGCTAATGACTGACAATGAAGTCATCCAGGCGACACGCAAATCGCTCGCAAGCCACGGGCTCGATAGCATGATTGGCGCCGAGTTCCGCAACTGGATATTCCGCGAATTCAAAGTCGACGTACCATTCCAACAACTTTTAGCGGGCAGCTTAACAATTGCGGATTTGGCAGCGATGTTATGTGAGAAAGCTACCAAAACATGAGGTCTGTATTACGACAGTGATCAAGATTATAAGGTAGTTATATAAGGTAGTTATACCTAGAGGTAGGTATGTAATGAGAGTTCAGAGTAATCTCCAAGTGTATAATTTGCATAAATCGTGCGGGACGTGCCCTCAGCTGTTCCATAATAAACAGTTTACCAATAGTTGAATATAATTAATGGTTATTCAATAGTCATATGTAACTAAACGCTGATACTATCACACATTGGTAAATATGTATATACATTTACTCAGGTTTAGTCGTTTAACCCATTTTAACGCTTAAAATATTTTCAACGCTTACCGCCTCCAACGTTAACAAGACACAACGTTTAAATAATTTTAAATATTTAAATCAATTGAACAGTTTATATTTATCAACCCTCGGTCAAGTATCCGCATCTTTATAGACGTTGAAAGTCCCCAATTATCAATTAAGTATCGGTTGAGAGTTTAGTGAACCCAGCAGATCCTGGTATGGTTCCGGGCTGAAGCTATACCATAGTACCGTGACGGTATGACTTTCGATACAAATCCTAAGAGTAAGATCTGGTGATAACACGGAGATACCGAGACAGTGAGAGGATCAATATGATAGCATATAATAAACCGGCCCCGGGCATAGCGGAACTAATATGTTAGCCCCGTTATCCTAGGTTAATAATTCGGGAGGGACCGCCAAAATATGAACCAAGATAAATGGTAACCTGGCTCTTGGTTAACTGCATGACATCGCCCTACTTCGTTATCGAATCCAAATCCGCATACATGGCAACATGGCAACTTCGGTTTCTTCTTTATCCCTATCGTCTTCGCGCGTGCTCTCCTACGCCTTGACGCCAGTACCTTCTAGACCGGAAGCGCCTATTGTCCTCCTCTCTAATTCATTAGCCGCGCCGTTTGCTACTTGGGATCATGTAGTTCCGGAGCTTACTTCTAGGGGCTTCGGCGTGTTGCGTTATGATCATCCCGGCCACGGAGCTTCTTCCGTCCCGGTAGATCTCTCCTCGACTACGTTGGAGACCATGGCTGACGACGTTCGAGAACTTCTAAGCCACCTTTCTATTTCGCGGGTGCACGCCTGGATCGGCGTAAGTATGGGTGCAGCGACTGGCATAGTATTCTCCGCGAAGTATCCCGGCATCATCGGGAAGCTGGTGGTTTGCAATACTATTTCCTGCTCTCCGCTCAGAGCCGGAGATACCGATATATTTGACCCGATGATTAGGGAAGCTAGGGAAACGGGATCCATGGACGGGACTGTCCAATCCGTTCTCGAACGCTGGTTCGGCCTTGCGTGGATGAGTGCCAACCCGGATGAGACGCGCCGCGTGCGACAAATAATGCTCACGACGAGCATCGACGGCTTTGAAACTTGCTGCGCAGCTCTCCGCAGTGACACTTTTGATCTAATCCCGTTGGCCGAGAAGGCAGGCCAAGGAATCGACAGTGCTCTATTCGTAGTAGGGGAAAACGATACAGATCTACCTGAGCATATGCTCCAGCTAAAGGACGGCGTAGAGCGGGGACTAAAACAGAAAGATTCGCAGGCTTCTATTGGGTTTAAGGTCATAAAAAATGCCGGGCACGTTTCGTACATCGATGGATACGATCAGTTTATTGCTGTTATTACTGAGTTTTTACGACAGTAGCTGCGTAGCAATATGCCTCTAGCTTTGCACACATCTTGCCTGGCTACCGATTAGTCTAGAAAGAGATTTGACATGAAAGAAAACGTAATATAGTCGCAAGCTGTTACTTTTCTCTGTGGTCTATTATATTACGGCCGTAAGAACCGCGCATGGGAATACGTAGCATTACCGTTGAACATCCACCGTTGGGTAGCTCTGTTCGAGATACCACTATCATATTAAGGCACGATATATTAACGACATTGAAATATTCGAATCAGCGATAGCTTTAATACTAATATACTCACACTGTCATAGGTATTAGCCAGGCTAGCTTCTCAACGACTACTAGTTCATTATTCTAATTTATAGCACCTCCAGCTCATAAATTGCGCATCGACGCGTAGCAGGCAATGCTTGGGTAGTTTCAACATCTGTTTTATTATCTCTAACGATATTCACTTTTTAATGGAAAGATATACAGTCCTTTGCCGTAGGAATGATATGCTAAACTGGGTACGCCAAGGTATCAAGCTGTGTTCCTTATAATCGCTTTTACAGGTACCTATGCCATTCAACTCTCCCCGTCACTATAGCGCGAACAAGGCCTCAACTACTATACCAAAATACCACCCGGATTATCAACACTTGCTAGTAAAAGCTAGGATCATAGTTATGATAATCCGTACTATTCATACGTTGGCCATGCTTCGTCGAGACTCACCGCGTGTGCTCATGATGATCACAGTATCTAAAAGTCACAGTATAATAATATGATGAAATTAAATTTTGCCATATATTAGCTCATTATTATTCGCTAGTATCAATATAATAGAAAGGTCCCGAAGCCTAGCCGCCTCGAGCATACTAGCTACTCTTATTGTCGGTTCCTAATGCCGTAGATAGCATTCCGGGGAATCCCAAAACAGACTCACTATTATCGACCGGCGGCGAGTCTACTTCTGTGAATGCCTCTTCAAAAATTTTGTGCAATATCGCCGACCCAGTCCACGCCCCATTCCATTATGCAATATACTAATAAAATATGGCTTAGCCTGATATTAAATCGGATTTCCATATTTTCTAAAATCTCGCCTTCGTCGTCAAGAGCGTCGGTGACAGCTGTTGGTCTCGGTAAACTCATGAATCCAAATATCAAAGCTCCGGTATCTCGTCGGACGCTATCTCGTCGGACGCCATTTTCTAAATCTTCAAGTATGCAAGCCTCCTAAACGCCCGATACTGAACCAAGTTTATTTCTTGGCGAAACAACTCATGATGCTCGTCTTACTTATAAACCACAGGAATCCGATGAAGCGAATGATGGAGAGGACAGCTGTAGCATATAAGAGGAACCGGAAATATCCGGGAGTTCGGGTCTGTGATGCTTTCTAGACAATTATATTAGCAGAGAACGGATTATTAAAATTATAGCTGGACACTTACCCCTACGCCCAAAGACTCGAACTCGTCGCTTGTAACGAGGACGATGAGCAGCAAATTCGATAATATCCACGTGATAACTAGGCCGGTCCTGAAGGATTTGTACGAGTCTTCCGTGTCCTTCTTTTCCACAACCTCCTCTTCCTCGACTGGAGCAAGGGCTCTGTATACGGTCTTCGCGAATAGGCTGTCTATGTCTTCCTGCTCCCTCTCGACCTCTTCGATCACGGGAGCGTCGGTCTTTTCATCCTTGATGACGTGCACGGACGGTAGAGCTGCCGTCTGGTCGGAGCCCTTAGTACCCCAGGAAACGTCATGCCAGTTATTGAAAGCGTACACCATAACGATATTAATATAGGTAGACGCCAGCACGAGATACTGAGGGAAAGAGTGGAACATGTGCCAAGGGTCCAGGTAGATGAACGAAGCCACGTAGTTGAGACCGTAGATGGTGACGATGGCGAGCAAGATAACGCCTGCGACGCTGCCGCCGCCGAACATGCTCTCGAAGAATGCTCCGGCGCTGGAGGTGTCGATCTGGTCGCCGAGGGGCGTTTGCAAGGCGCGGAATACCAGGTAGAAGGATAGGACGATAATGTAGGTCTGTATCACGCCGAAGACGACATACGAGGCGATGTAGGAGTGCCTCGAACCCTTGGGGCGATTGCCTAGAGCGAGGATGAACTGGATGAGGATGAAAACCAGGTAGAGGTATCGGAGCACCACGTTAACGATCGGCGTGGCGATGTCGCCGAACGGCCAGCCGTGGTATCCCGTCTCGGGAACGGGAGTGCCGACAAGCTCCATGATGATGACGGTAGTGAGCCAGTAGGAGGCGAGAGAAAACCAGCTAAATAAGATCTGGGCGATGTTATACAGGAACTGGATATGCAGGAAGAACATCCGGATGATGCTGTGCCCGGACCTGTAGAGCCGATTGAAATGTATGAGAGAATACAGCGTCGCCGCGAAGGAGCCGTTTAGCCAACGCCGTCGCTGACTTAGAAACTCGGCGGGACCTATTTAACGTTAATGCGTTAGCAATCATTCCCCGAATTAGTGTTCGGACTTTGCGGTGGATAACTGGGAGCAATTCTCGCCGAGCAGAATATAACAGAGAAAGAGAAAAGGGGGGGGTTAACCTTCGGGTACATCAGTTTCTCCTTTGGCAGCTTTGATATAACTTAAGTGCCACTTCTGGCCGGCCTTAGCGACGAGTTCAAAGCACAGAATTCGGTCTTCGGCAAGAAACATATTCTTCTTGAAAATGTTCATATTGTCTATGCCCTTCTTACCCAAGATCTTCGACAGCGTGTGATCGCCATGAAAATACTGCTCCAGGGGCCGGCCCATAATAGCCCGAAAACGGTAAGCAGAAAAGGCGCCCGGTAACACGGTGACATAACCAAACGCACTCTCCAGAGGTTTATCCAAGACGTTCGAGATTTTGTACTCAAAATTTTGAATAGCTACTATCGGATTGAGCAGCTTCTTGCCTCGTCTGCCCAACATGGCGTGAATCTCGCCGCAAGCGCCACCGAGGTCTTTATCATTATAAAATCCCTCCCACAAGGCGAGTAGGGATTTTGGACTGGGCTTGGTTCCGGCGTCGATGAGGATCACGACCTCAGGATTCAGGATGCGACCAAAGGCGTTGAACAGCCATCGGTGCGAGTTTATCTTCTTGCTATTCTTTTGTTTTAGGCAGAATAGTAGCTGCACGGGAGGTAAGTTGGTAGGGTCGTTTTCTTTCGGTAGGATGAGCTGCTGGTCGGGAGTGATGGAGATTTGGCTCGTAAACTCGAATATGTGAGAGACCGTTTCTTTACCGTCTATGTCCTTCTTGAGAACGCCGTCCTGGTAAACTCCCATCGTTCCTAGAACGTCGAGCACGCTCTTATCAGCTTTCTCTATACCGTCAAATATTAGGCAGACTACTATCTTCTGCCATGCCGGTCCGCTCTTTGTCCAAAATGTCGACTTCTTGAGCTTTACTATATCGCGTACGTTTTGCATCACGCTATGCATCGTTCTGGCGAAGAGGATCTTATCTTCGTTGTAATAGGTAATGGCTATGACTAGCTCGGTATGCCGGTTGTACATGCGCGCGCGGAGGTCGTATCCGTTCATGAGGGTGAAATCGTCCGGGTCGCACGTGGCCGCCGTGTACCGCATCGTTCTGAATTCCTCCAGATCTCGATACTGGGGTTCCGTGGCGTTGCGGATGGGGGTCGGGACCGGATATTCGGTGCTCAAGACGGAACCCTGAAGGCCTTGCGCCAACTTGATCTTGCGAGTATTGCGACGTCGAATCCCCCCTCCGCTTAAGCTCTCGATAGGAGCCTGCTGTCGTTCCGCCCATGTTTCCAGCTCGTTATAAGTCGACGGAGGTCTACCGTAGCCGAAGCCGTTGCCTAAGTTATGCTGCTCGAAATCGTCCGCGGCATGGGTTACGGTCGCCGCGTGAGGCAAGTGATAGACTCCTCGGGCGGCAGTGTCGCCACTATATACGGATGTAGGGGAAAGAGGGCGGTTGGGTCCCCCCAAATCGTAACCGCGCAGCGAGTAGGGTCGATCACCATACGGATCATGCTCGGGATAGTTAAGATTATCCTTTGCGATTTAGTTTAGAGAAGCTCTTTGTTGTTATAGCTACGGAATGGGGGTTTGACTTACAGTTGAGTCTCCGGGAATATCCCGCAGCTCGTACCCTCTAGAATAGGGTTGGTTCTCTGCCGGATCCATCTTAAGTTCTCATTACAGTAGTTCGTCGGGTCGTTAGAGATCGATGTAAGTGGTCTTGTCAAGCTAACGGAATTAGACTGCGTAGACAAGTTGAAGTTGCAGATTGGTATAACAGGTAGTTATAACTGCGACTGCGCAAAGTTTCTTATGGCAAATATCTACGACAAAAAGCAAAATGAGCGAACTAAGAAACTACTTTGAAACGGTCAAAGAGCGAAAGGACGAGTGATAAGAGAAGGAAGCGTGAAAGACCAAGTCGAAACGTGACAAATGGCACCATAAAAGTATTGTTAAAAGAATCCTAGGTTTTAACGTATCCCTGATCTGAGTATATGCTCCATTTATACTAGCGAATCAAGATATTCGAGAATACGTAATATACGTAATATATATATGTTTGTCACTTCGGAATACAGCCCAATCACGATTATTCTATACGAGCAGTTGATCGTTGGAGGCTGAGTACCGGGTTTCGAATTATCGGCGGCCCGGTCGATTGGTCAAAGCCTTTGGTGGCTGTGACTTATACGAGATCCAAGAAGTGGGGCCATTTATGCGTCCGGCCGTCTTGGCACCCGAGAATCCCGAAGATCACGATCCGGGTACTAATAATAAGCCTGTCATTCCACAGTCCCGGAAGATTGTCACGTTAAGCCTGTGAGCCTGTGAGCCTGTGAATCTAGCCTTACCCAGTACTTTTTTGAAACAATAATCAAATAATTGACTGCAACGGTTTTTATAAAGTGTCTTGGGTAATTAACGTTAGTTGCAACCTCTTCATTTAATTCCCCTTGCAGGTTTAGTATTGAAATCGTCAAGCCAAGATCTGCCAGCTGTAGGACCCAGAATGCATCCCTTACTGCATGAGGTACGTAACTCCTTAGCTGCAAAGGTACTTGAACATTCCAGGGGTCACTTCATGTACCTTTATGTATGTAGATCCAGGGCCCCAACGCTAGTATCATCCACCACATCCACCACATCATCCACCTCCACCACGTTGAGACACCAGATCTATTATCTTCTATTGGTTTCGGTCGGCATCCAAGAACGAATCACCACCAAAACATTTCCAGTAATGACACCATCAACCTTCACGACATGTAGTCTCATGACAGGCGCATGCGACGCGAAAGAAGTTTAATATTACATGACGACTTATAAATCCATCCGAGACTGTGTCACTGATATTTCTACGTTGTGGTCCGTCTGCTACTAACAGAATTCAATATCATCCCCATTTCCCCAAGCGATGGCTGCTCGGGACCACCCTCTCGGTATACTATAATTAAAAAGCATCAAGCCCCCACCAGCTTCATTACGAGGACAGGTTGGTATCGCTTCAGCGGGCTACATCCAGGATTCGACAGCCAGGTATGACGCCATCACACCGTTAAAGATGCAAGAAATATGGCCCACCCGACACTACCCAATGAGCAAAGACATACTAGTGGTACATATTAAGCCTTCATGAAATGCCTTGGAAATCAACCTTTTCTGATAGTCCGCGTATGTATTGAATTAAACTACTCAACATATAAGAGATAGGTACCTGGACTCCTGTAATAAGCCACTAAGGTAAAGGCGATAGAACAAGAATATCGTCCTAGTCTAAAGCAGCATGGCTTTAAATGTTGCAGTCAAGTTGCAACGGCCTCGAATTAGTAGAAATTACAAGAGTTAATCTACCAGCCGGGTTTAACTTTGGTCTTTCAAATTTACTTCTTATCCTATAAAATACTCGAGATGAACCTAGCACCTTTCGCCCTTCGCCCCTTCTAACAAGATGGTGTTCGCTTGTCTTAGTGTATACGATCTATATAATTGATCTTGCCCTTTAGTCATCGGTTCATATATGCAGACGGTTAGCTCTAGTGGTTATTATATCATGGACTACATCGAAGAAACCGTAAACGAACGATATCACGAATGTATAACGAGGCAGTACTATATTATCTACGCTAGAGCTATTATTTCAGTGCTACAAGGTGTTAACAAGTTGACCACGGAGGCCTCCTGCTCGGAGGAATCAAATTTAGATATCTTGGCAGATGCTTCCGGTCCAGGTCGATTTATTTCGATACCGAAATGGAAGCGACGATACGATAGGAGACGGACTTTGCCGGCATCGCTAGGGATACAACCCCTATTTAGCCAACACGATACGCGACTCCTCTAGTATCTTGGCTGCTGCATTGAACTGTGCGCCGGCCTCCCTACACTGTTATCCCGGTAGCAACGACCGAGCCTCCAAGGTTATAAGCGCCCTACCTAACTCGGGTTGCTACACCCAGCCTCAAAATACGTCAAGTAAATGATATGTAGGCGGACCGGGGGATACTATGTGCCCGGTTTCTGCGCCACCCCGAGGCCTGTTATAATAGGGCCGTGTTTTATGCTTTAGGGGGCTCCTTTTACTTGGACCAACACTTACCGCTCGCGCTACCAGGCTATCTCGGCGGATAGTCTAGACTTTTCTTGGCGATGGGCTCAGCTTACGACTGACCTCCGATACGAGATCAGTCCGTCGTAGGTAGTGCTGAATATTCTGCTTAAGCAATTGTCGAAAAGTCTACGATCGATGTATTATATTAGGATGTGTTTGCCGATCCTAATGCGAGACCCAACATGAGCCTTGGGAACAACCCCTAGGTAGACATGTCAGCTCAGCTTACAGAATTCGATCGTCGTGGTGACGTCAAACTTCGAATCGGACAGGATCACGATTCGGCGGCCGTCGTCTTCACCGTCTGTTCCAGGTCTCTCGCGCGCGCGTCGCCAGTCTTTGACCGTATGTTGTACGGGGATTTCTCAGAAGGGCGATCTAATCAAGCCAAGGATGCCGATGATTGGATCGTGAACCTCCCCGAAGACAAGCCTGCCGCGATGGCAGTGCTTCTTTCCATTTCGCACGCGCACTTCGAACAGATACCAAAGACGCTTTCCGTCGACGAGCTGTACGATTTGACCATGTTGTCGCACTTTTACGATGCTACACGCACCCTAGGTCCCTGGTCAAATAAGTGGATGGCGATGGTAGAGAAGTTGGAGAGGGAATCGCACGAGCTGATGCCTAAGATATTATGGATATCGTGGGAGTTAGGCTGGAAAAATACTTTCTCGGCTTTGTCTAGGAGGATGGTGCTGGAGTGTGAGGCGGCGATATTTTCTACCGATGCGGATCAAATTCAATATCCGCCTGATATCATCGGTAAGACTCGTTCCGGAGAAGGGCTAACCCCTGACGCTAGACGGTTAGACTAATAGTGCCATAGAACGTATCTCGACGATTCGTGTCCAGACGCTTCGAGCTTTGCTGGGTATATTTGGGGAGATGATTGAAAACCTCGCTGTGGTTGACGAGAAACCAAGGTGGTGCCGTCACGCTGTTTGGATGGGCCCTCGCAGGTGCGAGTCGATGATTCTCGGTTCCATAACCTTATGCTTGATAAGGGCGGGACTTTGGCCGCTCCCCGACGCGGATGAAGTAGAAGAGAGTGTGGTGGCCATTCACTCTAAGATGACCAACGTCATCATCCACGATATTGGTGCGGCCGATAATTCTCGAGTCGATCATCACGAGTGCAATCCAGGACCGTTCCTACTCGACCGTGTTCAGACGGTAATGTGCGAGATATCAAATCCTGTAACTACACTCCACTCAGAATATATGGAGAAACAGATGCGAAAGTTGAATTGACAATTTATCGAGGCTGAGATTACGATGCGCTGTTATTAGCAACGCGACCCGAGTTCGTTCGTGGTTGATATGTCGATAAATCGTTGATCAATCTCGCAAAGTCAACCAGAACGACGATAGGTTTTTTTTTTTTGAGGCGTCTAAATAGTAAGTAAGTCTGGGCTGTCAGATGGAGAGAGACAGGATAGTTTATACACTACGTTATATAACCAGAGGTTCTATCGTTACTTAAATATACTTAACATGTGAGCAGTTATAGCTTACTACGGCCAACCTCGAGACCATTTCAGATATAGTTGCTTGAAGCATCGCCGTCTTCTACAAGTTAGTCAAGCTCAAAGTTATTAGCTTAGGTTAATCTAGTACGAGGCACGCTGTTAAGGGAGTTGGATAGAACTTAGCAAGGTCCGGTCTCGTATGTAAGTCGGCGCGTTCGTCGAATTATCTAGGTACCTAGGTTCGGGAGAGTCCATTCGGAAACGGTTCGGCCAAACTCCTACCTAAAGGCTACATAAAATGGACTAACCGATGAGCAAATATACAAGGAGCTATTAATACATGAAAAACGTTCGCAAGGTCGGCTGCGGGTTAGGATCGTACACTGTAATCTTCGTCGGATGCGAGGTCTGGACGAGCGCGGTTGCTTAGATACTCGGCTGGAGGTCGATTCCGGGCGTTCTAGAAGCAACTTCCGCTATATTGCTAACGTCTCTCGCGGATCCCTTCGTCGTCGAGGATCAGTTCCCTATTCCACGCCTTTGCGACCTCCTGGTGAAAGTGGCTAGGTCCTTCGTAAGTCATCATGCGACGTATATGGTCTAAGGCGGAGACACCTTCGTTGTTTTTCTGCTGAGGATCGGCGCCTCCCTTGAGCAGGACGATGACGCACTTGGCTGACTTCTCACCGGTCAAATCCGCCGGCTGGTTCGGATCTTCGAGCGGCCAGATGCTCTCGATAGTTTGGCAGAATATACTCAAGAAAGAATTTCCCTTGTCGTCACGAAGTTGGAGGGGGAGCTCGTGGTGGAGTAGGAGTTCTATCACCTCCGGGTCGTGTCTCCGGCAAGCGGCTCGGATGTAGCGCAGTTGCAACATCTCTTGTCGCGGGCGCCAAAGATTGCTTAGAGACACAGGAATCAGGCGGTCCAGCAAAATACCGACGCGATGGCGAGGCGAATTGCTGATCGCCCATTCCAGCGGCGTCGTTCCCCAGAAGGAGTTTATAGCAGATGCCGACCTGTGGTCGTCCGGACCAAGATGCATGTGTATATCGGCTTCGGCGTGGAGTAAGACGAGGATCGCAGAGTCGTGGCCTCGCGCTATACATAGGTGTAAGGGTGTTACCGTGGCCGTTGGTAGTACCACGTTAGGATTTGCGGATTCTAGTACTAGGCGCAATACGGAGGTGTCGCCGAACGCGGCCAAGCTCGCGCAGCAGGCATTTTCTAGATAAGCAGTGCGCTTCGTTCTAGTCGCTTGATAGCTAGGGTGGGTGTGGATCGTCCTGATAATCTCTGTCCTGCCGCGTACGATTGCGAAGTCCAAGGCATCAAAGCCCCGATGACAGACGATGGCGCCGTGATCCAAAAGCAGGCCAACCACACTATAATGATTTCCTAGAATAGCTTTGACTAGAGGAAGGTCGGTGCCAGAGCATTGGTTCGGATCGGCTCCCCTCTTTAGAAGCATTTGGGCAATCGCGAAATTACCGATCCCGCAGGCTTCTACTAGAAAGAACTCGGGGTTAGCCGGCATTTCAAGCCTAATCATAAACTCGGCATAATCGTCATGTCCCTTCTTGATGCAGTTGAGAAGACGGTTCGGGTCCCTTAGCAGATCGTATGATTGCGGAAATCTGGAAAGATATTTCATAGCCATGTCATTTTCATCCTCCTCCTCAGAATTATCGATAATAGAATCGATAATAGAGTCGATCTCTGCCGAAGTAGGCTCTCTGAGTCCGCTCTCCATAAGCAAATCGGCAACATCATGGTTTGGTTGGCTCATCGCGTCTCCGAGGAGTTTGAAGCTGTCCTCATCATCCAGCGTACCAGGCTTCGCGTGTTTGATAAGAAGTTTCACTATTTGCATGTTGCGACATGATCCTAAGGCTGTCCTCAGAGCTCGGCCGATATTGTCGAAACTTTGCGGCTTATGGGTTAGTAGTGTTGTTACAGTACGTAGCCTCGCCTCCTCAGGCCTATGAGCCCTTGTTTCTCCGGATCCACAAACCTTCATCAAGGCAGTATTACCGTCACCATCCATCGCCTCCGTATCGGCACCCGCGGCGAGCAAGGTTTCGACAACCTCGTTGAGACTATATTTGGACGCAAGCATGAGTGGGGTTATGACCCTGTCTCTGCGATCGGGCTTGTATTCTAGGCATCGAACCTCTATGTTAGCACCTGCTTTGATAAGTGCTCGAATGACGCTGGTTCTGAACTGCTCCTGATCAAACTCTCGCCCGTGGCTAAGACGGGTATGCCAACGTGGTTCGAATCTGAGTGATTCCCCAATTTGGCAACAGCGGAATAACAGTTCCGAAACCGCATCGGTAGCCTCGTGTTCCACGGCGCAAGATTTCGCCAAGTCCACCCCCAAGTTGATGAGTCGAAGGGCGTCATAAAACCAGCTACGGAGGCAGGCATGTTCGATAAGACTGTATGATCCCAGGTTGACGTTTAGCGAAGCCCCAGCATTTACTAGGAAATCGATAGAGCGCCAACTATTAGTGAAGTACGCGTATGCCATAGGTGTGTAACCCTTTCCGTCTTGGACGTTGATATCTGTCTGATGCCCTTCGTTCAGGAGGAATCGGATTATAGGAACATTGTTGGAAAAGCAAGCTGTGTGGAGAGCAGTGATGCGATAACAATCCGGAGAGACGCCGGTCGAGGCTCCGTGAGATATTAGAAGTCTTGCTGTCGATTCGTGCCCGTGGCAGATTGCGGTATGAAGAGGCATCCAGACAGGTGTGACGTAGTGCCTTGCTTCGGATGTCAGTGCCTTGTTCGGGAGGAGACAATCGCAACATCCTCTAGAAGCTATGTCGGTCTTAGCTTTGTGTTGAAGTAGGAGGTTTACGATATCGTCTCTTCCCATGCTTGCGGCAACGTGCAGGAGAGTCCAATAGTATGGTAGGGGTCGAACACGGGGTTGTCCAGGTTGCCCAGGTTGCTCGGGTTGCCCGGGTTGCACTTTGTCAGACTTCATCCAGGTACATAGGCCGATAGAATTGAGAGGCAATACACGAACTGACAGTCTGTTTTGTCCCGAGGATATGGTAAGGTTCGGACTCGCGCCAGCTTCGAGTAAGTGTCTCACGACGCTTATGTTCCCGCGCTCGACGGAGTAATACATGAGTTCGTGGTTGAGTTGGTGCCGACTATATAAGATTTTTATGAGTAACTTATGGAGGTCGCGGCAGGTCCTTGAGAGAGAAGACAACTCTCCATCGTCGAGATGCTTTCCCACATCCTCGACCAGCTCGGCGGGGAGATCGCCGAGAGCAAAAGACATCTTGATGAATTGCTTCCCGCGTCAGTCACCAGTAGGTGTTCCTTGAACAAATATTTGTGAATTTCTGTTCGGACAAAATCCAATGAGTTTAATTGTGTAAAGTAGAAGATAGGAATCGACGACGGGAGTCTCGAAGAAACCCGAATTAACCTATTGTTTACGATGCATCAACCGGCAACTACGTCCGTGGGGGCCAACGGACCGGCAAGTGTTAAGCGTGACATTTTAGCAGCCCTACGGCGTTCAGCTGCTGCAGGAACGAAGGGGAAAGTGGGGCGCCTAACTGTTAGGTGCAGCAGCTGAGCAAATGCAGGGCTAGAGCTACAGCAAACTTAGTGGGTTAGGTTAGGTGCCTAAACGTTACATGTACCTTGGAGGTAAGGACATGACGGGTCCTGGGGCCGGGCCGTTGTGACGACATACACGTAAGTACCTAAATCTTAACAACGGCATATCCAAGACATAAGATGTTGTTGCCAGGTGATCCACGTCATGGTAGAAGCACAAACAACCTAGGCATCAAGGGCAAATAGGTACCTAGGTGCCTTATAAGTAGAGGTAGTCTCATAGTCCTTGGAAATTAACAACGCACTTTCGTAATGCAAGACCATTTCCATAGATGTAGTTATTATTGAGATATGAAAAGCTTAGAGCCTACCTGGTGTAGGTAGTTGATAAAGGCTCTAATATTCAACAAGGATGTAAGGGTATATTTCACAGCTTTTATACCTTAGGTACCTTTCTCCTCCACTTCCCCAACTTCAACTTAATCGATGTGGCTTATGTAGAAGACATAAATAAATTCCAGAGTGTTGAATTGTACATATTAACAAAAAAAAAAATGGTAATCCCTTTTAATAATAACAGTGCTGACTTAAAATTAACTGCATCTTTCTTAGGCTATTACAAGTGCAAGTATAAAGATAGGAGCTCAGACGTAACAGTTTGCTAAATTTCCCAGACTCTCAAAAGAAAGTATTCCTCGATAATTCAGAATCTAAAACCTTTAAGCATCCTGAAGCACTTGATAGGCGCTTGTAAGCGGTAACTCTAGATTAACTACATTAGATATGTACGTACCTATTTACACATATTAGCCGGCACTGAAGCAGCAAGCTTAGCCGACATCTCCTTAATACTTATGATATTGTAACCCTGAAAGGATTAAGCAGCATAGATCATCGTAAAGGAAAGCCCGACCATTTATTTGCCTAGCAATGAGGCGCTGGTTAAGGCACAGCGAAATTGTTATTTTACATCACACAAACGCTCTTTAAGAGATATGTCACCTCCCTTTCTCGGATAGAAGGGTATACCTGTTATAATGTTCTTAATTCTTAATAAAATACTTGGGTACGTCTAAGAGTGGAGCCTCACCGCCCACAGAATGGCTATAATCGTATTCCGTACACATAATTATTCTCGTAATCCTTACATAGATTTAATCAATAACGATACTACGAGACTCATCTGGATGCCATTACCTTTAGTAATGCTGCATCACGAGTCCTTGTATCCGTAAACAAAGACGCACAATGGGTACTACATGTAGCCTTGAAATTGGGTCAAGTTTCGTAGGTACATGTAAACACCATGAAAACATCGGATACCTTTGCAGGAGCTATCAAAGTGCCCGTTGGACTTTTCCTCTTTGCCCCAGGCCCTAATAGAACGGTTTTTGTATCCACTTAGTTGTAGTTACCTTATTCAAAGCTCGTTTATCTTGTCTTGTGCACGGACGAGATCGTTGTCCCCTCAACAAGGGTAGATCTAATCTAACCATCTTTCTCTTGCATCTAAGATATGCGTGCTTGAGATCGGTCGTTTATCTGTGGATGCAATCTTTAAGCTCGCGCCTCTCAGGATAAAACCTTGAGGCCAACTTATTCCACCTTCTCCCCCACTTCTTATTCCAGGCTCGATGACACGGAAACAAACACGAAAACACTCCAAGATGGCCACCGCCCTTGCCCAAGACATCTCCCAGAAGACTTCCGGTTTGGTACAATCTAGCAACCACCGAGATCTGCTCGACATTGTCGACTCTCTTAGGTCCCATGGCGTCAGTCACTACGTAGACCTACCTCAGATCATCGTATGTGGTAGTCAATCATCCGGGAAAAGCTCCACGCTTGAGTCGCTTTCCGGAATCGCCTTCCCGACCGCGGAAGGCTTGTGCACCCGCTTCGCTACGGAATTGATTCTCCGCCGCGGCGATAAACCGGAGATCAAGGTACACATCCAGCCCAGCGCTAGCAGAAGCAAGAAGGAGAGAGCTCGCTTGTTAGCATTCACCGGAGAGACTAAGAACCAAAATGACTTCCCGAAGATTGTCGAAGCCGCCAAAGATGCCATGGGCCTAATTGGGGAGGGATCCAAGATCTTCAGCACGGATATCCTGCGGATAGAGAGCACGTCCCCGACCGCGCCCAACTTGACGCTGGTTGACTTGCCAGGCCTGTTTGGCGCTTCTGACAAGAATCAGTCAGACGATGACGCTGCTTTAGTCCAAGACCTTGTAGTGTCATATATGCGACAGCGCCGTAGCATCATACTCGCCGTCGTCGCGGCCGATAACCCGTTTGCTAACCAGCCGGTGACCAAATTTGCTCGGGAGATCGACCCGTCTGGCTTGAGGACGCTAGGTCTCATCACGAAGCCTGACAAGATTGACAGCGACTCCGATAGCGAGCGGTATTACGTGGAGCTGGCGCAGAATCTGAACGTGAAGCTACATCTCGGCTGGCATATTCTACGCAACAGGAGCCATGTCACGGCCAACGACACGATTGAAGAGAGAGACAAGAGAGAGGCGGAATTCTTTGCCGGCTCTGTTTGGAACACCCTCGACAAGTCAAACCTTGGCGTAGGATCTCTAAGGTCTCGGTTGCGCGACATCCTGTGGAAGCAGATCCAGACCGAGCTTCCGGGCGTCAAGACCGAGGTACAGGCCGGAATCAAGGACTGCAAGAGTAAGCTAGCAATGCTTGGAAAGGCCCGCAGTACCATGAGAGAGAAGCATACCTATCTCCAGCGGATCAGCAGCGTCCTATCCAAGTTGGTCCAGGCAGCCATCGACGGGGTATATGCCGATCAATTTTTCGAGTCTTTCCCCGGTCAGCAGGACGCTTTCGAAAGACGTTTACGGGCGCATGTGCAGAAGATTCTGAGTGGCTATGCTGAGAAGATGCGCGTCGACGGTCACGCCCTAGAAATCGTCGAAGACGATCTGGAGCCGACCAGAAGATCGTCGAGGAGATATGTGATGAGACTGGATTACCTCGAAGTGGTAAAGGTGCTTATGGTAGAATGCCGAGGGCGCGAGCTTCCGGGCACGTTCAATCCCCTTGTCGTTGGTGACCTATTCAGCAGGCAGTGCAAGCCTTGGGAGTTAATCACGCAAAATCTTGTCGAGCAAATTCACGAGGCAGCAGCTAGCACGTTCAACAGGATCATCACGGAGATCTGCGACAATAATACCAAGACCCGTCTCATGAAGCATCATATCCAGCCGGCGCTGCACCGCCTCCGGGGTGATCTAAAGGACAAGGTTGATGAACTACTAGAGCCTCACCTATCCGTTCATCCCATCACCTACAACGACTACCTGACGGAAACGGTGCAGGATATCCAGACCCAGCGTCATGACCGGAAGTTTGATGACCTATCGAACGAAGCCTGCAAGTATACAACGAAAACTGCACCGGTCCAAGCCACCAGCGTAATCCTGCGCAACCTTCTCTCCCACCTGCAACAGGGAACGCGGCCCAATGTTAAGGAATACTCCGCCTCGCTCGCGGCTGATGTTGCTGCGGCGTATTACCAGGTATGCCTATCATACTTTATCCTACGAGCCGTCAACATTTCAGGCCTGGTGCTAATAGTCTATAGGTTGCGTTGAAAAAGTTCATTGACGATGTTAGCGTCAATGCTATCGAGACTTGCCTAATTCAATGCCTACCAAACGTGTAAGTATACCACCAAACTACCTAGACACCAATAGTGTACTAACTATCAATCCTTCAGGTTCTCTCCGGACGTTGTGTGGGATCTCTCCGACGAAGACGTCGAGAAGCTGGGATCTGAGGATGACGGAACCGTCAAGGAGCGCGCCGAGCTTACGAAGAAGCTAGATGTTCTCGAGACTGGTCTGAGGGACTTGGATGCGTTCACGGCGCGATCTAGTACCCACGCGGTAATATAAGAATAGTTCTAGAGTTGAGGGAATCCTGCTGAAGAGACGAGACTGATATCTCTAGTAGGCTTTGGTGTGTTTATCTATTTAGGTAGTCCGTAGCCATTTAGTCATTGCAGTACCAGTAGGAAGTTGATTCGTGCCTGTTTCTGTCTCTCATGAACTTCCTGTTCATCAGAGAGCTAGGACAGCCAACGCTATAAGTGGGACTGCCTATCAAATATACCATCCTACATGCTCTTCGTGTTCTAGGCAAAGATATGAATATTGCGCCCCTATTACTTCTTAAACTCTCAGCCTTCTAGTGACTAGATCAAGTCTTTAAAGCCCTAATTCGATATTATGGGACCGGAATTTGGATACGGTTCTATGGCGCACTGTAGCTAGGTGGATGTAGGCAGAGGCTTCGGAATTCTTAGTGCATTGTAATCACCGTCAAGTCTTGCACTACTTGATGAAACGCTATTATCGAGGCGCACGTCTTCCCTAGATCTAGAATTTGACGGATGCTAACGCGAGTCTGCTGTCTATCTTCTCCCTGCCGCCCGTTTATAGATAGAGCAAGTACTGGACGCAATTGTAGAGTTTAGGTCTTATATGAAAATTGCTACGTTCATGATTTCTACTCGGTATGGACGGGCAGTCGCTTTATATGGATCTAACCGACGATTTATAGATCTAAAGGCCGGTCTCTGGTCCGTTCCTGCAGAAGTATGCGAGACATGGGTATTTTATGTACTTGAGAGCATGGAAAAACATGGATAGAGCGTCTGTTCCTTGCACGGACACCCCTAGTACCGGGCCA